CACACCTATGCCGGGTAGTTGTTGGGAACACTAAGCTCGAAGTTGTTGACGAGTATGTTTACCTGGGACAAATAGTCCGACTAGGTAAGTCCAACTTCGACCGAGAGGTCAATCGACGAATTCAACTCGGTTGGGCAGCGTTCGGGACATCTTCTCGTCAGGTATACCTCAAAACTTGAAAACGAGACTGTACACCCAGTGCGTGTTGCCAGTGATGACATACGGAACTGAGACGTGGTCCTTCACTGCTGGCCGGATGAGGAAGCCCAAGGTCGCTCAGCGAGCTATGGAGAGGGCTATGCTCGGAGTTTCTCTGCGTGATAAACTCAGAAATGAGGATATCCGCAGTAGAACCAGAGTGACCGACATAGCCCAACGGATTAGTAAGCTGAAGTGGCAATGGGCCGGCCATATAGCTCGAAGAACCGACAACCGATGGGGAAGAAAGGTTCTCGAGTGGCAGCCTCGTACCGGCAGGCGAAGTGTAGGGCGTCCCCCCACTAGATGGAGTGACGACCTGGTAAGATATGCAGGAAGTCGATAGATGCTGGTGTCTCAGGACCGTGCTTTGTGGCATTCTTTGGGGGAGGCCTATGTTGTTGGCAGTGGACTTGTGAAGGGCTGTAATGATGATGAAATGGCACATCAATAGAGGTGTCTATGGAATGGAAAACGGCAACAACTTTGTAAAACAAAGAAGGTGAGAATAATATAGCTATCTTATTTTGTACCATGTTAAAAGTCATAAGTTATAAAGAGTTCAGCTATAAGAACTTTGTTCTTATTTTAGGACCCTTTTTATGCTAGTAATTACTCTGGAGGCATTACATTTCAATGTCTGTTATAATAGTTGGTGCGTTGTAGCAAACGTCGATTAAACATTTATATATACTATTTAATTCTGTTTTATTTTATGAAAAAAACTTAGGCCCGTATTAATAAACGTTACTCAATGACGAACTCAAGTGCGTAATCATTTGATACGCCCTCATTACGATATCAGCATCTCAAGATCTAATTAATAAACACATAAATACAGTATCTCAAAACGCTGTACTTAGGAATACTGTTCTTTGACTTGCACTCAAGTACACATATATATATATATATATATATATATATACATATATCCATACACATACACATATACATATACATACACACACACATATATACACACATACACACGTATACATATATATACATAGATACATACGTTTAATAGGCTTTTTGTAATAAATAATAATATGTAATAGCATAATAAATATTATGTAAACGAAAAATCAGCTAACGTCTAACCTCTTAACAATACTCCTATTTATTAACTATACCCTTCTGTTCGTTTATTAGGAGATATTTTAAGTGTTTTCTAAACGTGCCTACTGTGTTTAGGTCACGCAGTGGAGGAGGTAAATTATTCCAGCAATGGGAGGCTGCATACTTATAACAACCTCGAAAGGCTGAAGAAGAATGTCGCGGAATACTGAGCCTATTATAAGATGAAGCGCGGCTGAGATACTTGCTATGCTCGCGAGACCAGTCTAACTTACTAAAAAGATACTTTGGGTTTTTTGTCTTTATGACGCCAAAAAGTACACAAGCTAAATGAAGTTTGCGTCTGGCAGCCATTTTAAGAATATTATTGTCGTCAAGAAATGGGCTTACGTGACCTCTTGGCGGTACATCGAAGCAAAACCTCGCACAAGCATTTTGGACCCGTTGAATAAGGTGTGCGGTACGTGACAGTAAACAAGGCCCATAAACCGTATCAGCATAATTAAATTTTGATAGTACTAGGGTGTCCGATAGTCTTTTTCGTAATTCTAAACTTAAGTGTTCACGCATTCTGTACAGGATTTTTAACCTATAAAAACAGTTCTTAACAATGTTATTGATATAATCTTGAAATCTGAGATCAGGGCTAATTATGATTCCTAAATTACGTGCTTTATCGACTCTTTCTAATACCGTGTCTTTTATATACAGTGTTGGGACAAATTTATTTATTTTTTGAATCTGTTGTTTCGTTCCGCAAATTAAAAACTTTGTCTTTGATGGATTCAACACTAAACAGTTTCTCTCTGACCACTTTACTACTTTATCCAAATCCTCGTTGAGTTGATTAACAGCTTCTACAGTACAACTAGGCTTAAAAGACTTATAAATCTGTGTGTCATCTGCAAATAAGTGATATTTACAATATTGGAAACAGTTACTAATGTCTGATGTATATAACGCGAAAAGTACGGGACCCAAAATCGATCCTTGAGGAACACCACGCGTGATCCGCTGCGGAGAAGACACACAATTTTGACCATTTGATTGAAATGTAATTTGCTGTGAACGTCCACTAAGGTAACTGTGAAACCATTTTATAGTCCTGGGGTTAAATCCGTAAAACGACATTTTGGACAAAAGTAAAGGCGTATTTATGGTGTCAAAAGCCCTAGAATAATCTAATAGAACGAGTATAGTCCCCTGACCCGTATCTTGGGCCTCCAATATATTACCTACTACATCAGATAGGGCAGTAGCAGAACTTCGTCCCTTTCTGAAACCCGATTGAAGATCGGGCAGTATAGCATTATTTTCTAGATATGAAATTAATTGTTGATACACAACTTTTTCTAATATTTTAGATATACAGGGTAGCAAACTTATGGGCCGTAAGTCAGTCACGGTAGCAGGATTGGCATTTTTTGGAAGAGGACGTATTAAGGCTAGTTTCCAGATGTCAGGGAATGTACTTGTAGATATCGATAGGTTAATCAACGCGGTGATAGTTTCCAGACTTTGTGGAAGGGTCATTAATAACATATCTAGGTTAATACCATCAACTCCCAGTGCATTAGATTTTAGTTTTTTAATTATATTCAAAATTATATCTTGTGATACCGGTTTCAGCAAAAAAGTTTTAGAAATAAATCTATTAAATTCAAAATATGTAAGATCTGATATAGTTACGTTATAGGAACCTGGTATGTTTGAGAAATGTGAATTAATAATATCAGGATCCGATAAATGTGGCGGAAGGTCGTATTCGTTTTTCGGTGGTAACGAGTACGCCTTCAAATTTGACCATAGCTTCTTTGGATTGCTGATATTATTATTAATGAACACTTTGTAATATGCTTTTTTCTCGTGGTATAGTGCGACATTTACTTGATGTTTTAATTGTTTATAATAATTTTTATGACTGGGCGACTGTGAACATCTATATTTATTGAGTGCTTCATCGCGTAAACTCATCATTAATTTTATGGTTTTGGTTATCCAGGGGCAAGGGCGATCTTTAAGTATAACTGTTTTAATAGGTGAATGCAAGTCAAATAAATTTAGGATGTAGCGATTAAATAAGTGCACCATTTCATTGACATTATCGGTACAACTGATCACATCCCATGGAATTATCTGGAGGTCTCGTTCAAAATAATCAAGTAGGATATCATTTAGGGGGCGATATACTAACGTCCGAGGTAGTATTTTGTCTATTTTAAAATGTAACTCGCATGTAAGAAAGGCATGATTACCTAAGTCAGCTATATGATCGTTTGTGACATTTCGTGTTGGCGCATCAGTACAGATAACATCAATTATAGTTTGGCTAGTTTCGGTAAAATGTGTTGGCTTATCTATTAATTGTTTAATATTAACATAATTTATAAATTCCATAAAACGCTTGGTCTTCACATCTTCTGTGTCAATTAAATTAATATTAAAATCTCCCAAAATCAGTACATAATCGTGCGAAAGTGTGCTAAGGCTGTCAGTAATAGCATCAAGAAATAATTCAACGCTAAGCCATGGTGGGCGGTAAGCCGTGCCTATCACAATTTTTTTTGAGTTGATATGCAGGGCTAGCCACATCTCTTCTACACAATTGTGGTGAGGAGTAGATAATGTTCGGGAGTTGATTCCCTTTTTGACGTAGAAGCCTACACCCCCTCCACGGCCACCGCGCACAGAGTGTGGTCTCGGCACGTGACGTAGGCGGTAGCCAGGTACGAGCGGAGCGCGCCCATCTTCGCCTTCCCGTAGCCAGGTCTCATTTATCGCCATGAGATCAACATCATGTCGACTCATGGCTACGAGGAATTCTTCATGTTTCGTACCCAATGAACCCGCATTAAAGAAACCAACTTTTAATTCTTTAAACTTAATCATTGCTAACTGAAATACCACTGTCGTTGGCCGAATAATAAGATTTATCCATTGTTAACAGATAGTAATGAAGTAATAATGAGTATAAAATACCAAATACGGTTTTCCTAACTTTAACAAATATTATATTATATTGTAAATTTAATCTTATAAATAAATAGTACAACTCAGGATTTACATATAATAAATAAATATTATTAAGACATGATGTATGTTTACTTTGTTCACTAAACTGACAAAACGTTACATATAAATTATATATTGACAAGACATTATATATACATTTTGATAGATTACACTCATCATTATTGAATATTAAAGTTAATTCTTTCCGAATATTAAAATTATTTACGTTTAAAATATAAAAATAAAAATGTATGTGCTTATAAATAAATACAAAATTAAAATTGCGTTTATGTAAGTAGAGTAAAAAACGTAAGGAGCTGTTTGCATGTACCACTAATGACCAGGCAAAATATAGTAAAATAAAATTGCGATTACTCACGGTATGAACACTTTTGTCAGACACACAAATACTAACGAGACAATGAAAATTACACTTAAAGATTTCATGTGTAATGAACACGTACACTGATTTACATAAACCAAAAAAGGCTGAATTAAAACTTAACAATAAACCCTTTGAAAAGCAACATATTATATTAAGTTGATGTATATTAATATGTATACACTTACTGTATGTAATTGTTATTTTGGAGACTAACTTATAAAAGAATATAAATATTGTTTTAACAAACCTAATTAAGCTATCTCTAACATAAGAGGTAGGATAGTAAAAAAGTAATATTAAAAAAAGTAAATTAATAGCTAACGCATGATTAACAAAAAACACGCTGAAGGTCTGCTTCGGACCGAATTCGCGTTACAGGCTTTCCATCTTCCTTTCTCACAAAAATATGTCCACCCTTCGTCCAAGTATAACGCCATTTTGCTTTTTTCGCTGCCTCGCGAGTCTTACCAAACAACTTCCTATTCAAAGGTGTTAACCGCTCATTCACGTAAAACCGACGCGGCTCGCCGGGTAACCCCAGTGACTCAGTGGTTACTGTTCGTCGAACACGCGCGGAACGTAAAAATTCATCTCGCAGCGCTCGCCGGCTCATCCGCACCATAATTCTACGTGGTCCCAAACGAACTTCTTCTTGAGAGCTATTAATGTCGTCAATAGATTTGCGTAATATTCCGACACGCTCGGCATGGACAATTTCACGGTGGTCAATATCAAGGCCTAACTTTCTAGCACATAGTATCACAGTGTTAATGGCTACTTCACCCTTTTGTTCCGGTAGACCTGAGATTTCCAAGTCATTGGCTAACAGGTCCTGATCCCTCTCGCCTAATTGGATCTTTAATTCAGCTATTGTATTCTCAAGACCCATGGACTTACATTTGTGCTCACGTTCTTCCATTCGGTTCTCCAACTTGGTGACCCTAGAGTCAATTTCTTCCAAATTTTTATTACACACGAGCATTGTATCCCTTAACATGGCGAAATTGTCCCTGATCTCCTTCAGCTCATTGCGCATTGCACTGAGCTCATTACGAAACAGGCGTATTTCTAGGCCTATGTCAATGTCTTTTTGGACGGGACTACTATCTCCGACATCCTGACACTTTACCGGTGTATTAGAATTGTCCCCAGCACGAGGAACTTTACTCTTACAAGCTGGGCACATCCAGGAAGTTGATATCTTTACCTTTTCAGATAAGTTAAGGCAGCCTCGATGATATGTGGCATCACATTTACCACAGGTAACGCCATCTGTCGCCGATAGGTAGCGGCCGCATGCTCCACACTTTGCCATATTATTGATATCAATAAAGAATATTAATCTATAAAACTAGTGGCCACCAGATGGCGCAGAAGGGATTATATCAATTGATATCAATATACTAAAAGTTAAAACTTAGTTTTTATAAGTAAATTAATAATAGTCCACTTCGTTAGATACAGTGGTAATTAAATGTTTTTCAAATTATAATAATATATGGAATAAGTTTGTAAGTTCGGACAAATTAATATCTTTGTTACACAAAAACAGGGTACTTTTACACTGATTCTTTCCTTATTTACACTTTTACCATTGATTACTTTTAAATTACACCACACCTATATTCAGTATCTCCAATCTTTGTTAAATTAAGCACATATATCACTTTTGTAGCTTTAATACTTAAATAAATTCAATTAAACTCGATTACTTTAAGAGCACAGTACTACTCGCTGTCAATTCAACTACCATCCCCAATGTAGTACTATTATTGATCGAAGCGTGGCACAGAAGTGTGGTGGTCCAATGCAGCGGGGAAGAGTTTCGGTTATATAACGTCACCCTGTCTTACACCTCTCTGTAGTTGGATAGGTTTCGTACTCTTACTCGTACTCGGATAGTTATAGTAGCCCTACTGTACAAACACTTCAGCACTTCGATGAATACCTCAGCACAAAAAGCATCAAAAAGACAACTTTTAAATAAATATTTGCATTTTACAGGACAATAAATACATAAATATTTCAATAAATATTTTGTTTTTTAAATGATGAAAATGTCTTAATTTTTTTTCTATTTTACTGTATAAATTTTACTCCTTGTCATTAATTATTTTTTCTACTTTACGCTTTTTTATAGCATTAAGTTTATTTCATTAAATTTACGTTTCATATTATATCATTAAACTGTTTTATTTTATCACATATTTATTACCTACATTATTCCGTGTCGATATTTTATCGATAGTTTTTTGTCAAGCACTAGCGTATATGAGTTGAGTGTGTTAACTACCTGCAAGGAGTGGGGAGACTAGCGGCGGCAGTGGTATCGCAAGTAAATTGAAACAAAGGCATTTCTATTCCGCTATATTAGGTGTTCTGTGACTGAGACGCTCTCTTGCGGGATATAAGAAGGGCGTTTTGGGTCGCTTCCGATACGGCATATGAAGCTTAAACAGCTGGTTGCCAGTACCCAAAGGCGGTTTTTAGAGGGTACCACTTAGGTTCCCCGGTAAGCAGTGAGTCCCTCATAACCACGATAGATCGGCTGTCGTGGTATGCGTAATGCATTTTCCGCCTCCCTGCGTAAAGGGTAGCCCTTTTCCAAATTGCTTCGGGCGCAAAAAAAAAGTCTGTGAGGTGTTCATTTCTGAAGCGGCACTCGAAGACAACAAGAGAAGAAACCTCAAGAGAAGAAGCATCAAGAGAAATCAAGAGATACTCCATTGAAGATAGAAGAGTGAAGACTCCCCTCTCTGTATATAGTTTATTAGTGCCGCATTTGTAAATAGTTGAATACAGTATAGTTCTACAGTACCATATTTTCTTTGAGCAGTCCCCTAGCGTGGTAATCAACCAGTTTTATACATTAAATTCATACAGTCCACTACAATCCCTTATATTCTTGGTCCATCGCCGCCGGATAGAAGCCAGAAGAAAGAAGATAATTACAGAAGAAAGAAGATAATTATAGAAGAAAGAAGATCATTATAGAAGATCTTCAAGGAAGAAAGAAGTACGTCGACGAAGAGAGAAGATCGTCGGTACTAATTCCTTCCCCGTTTCTTATTACGTCTACGTCATATATGTCTATTGTCTGTTTCCAGACAATTTTCTTGTTTCTTAATCGCGTTTACGCGTTCAGGTGGTTGCTCCCTAACGGTACCAAACTGTGACCATCTGGTAACGCCCTTGCGGCGGGAACGGCGTCCAATACGTGCGTCTTTTTGAAGACGATCGGAGGTCGCAACGTGGGACATCATCATGCGGAAGACAAGAAGCCAGAAGACACGGAACGACGACGAAACGCCGATAGGAATGCGGATATTCGAGGAAGCACCCGCGTCCCCGTCCGATTATCTCGCGTTGGCACAAGCGCCCTCCGCCGCGCCGCAGCCCCCGCCCGCGCCCGCAACTATACATGCGCCCGCGCCCGCTCCGCCGCGCCCCGCTATGTCCGTGTCCACAACCGATCGCTTGGGAGAGGTAAGCACATCCGCGCCGCGTACAGAGACGCTCGCCGCGATTATAGAAGATCTTCCGATTACAGAGACTAGTTCGATAGTGCGTACCGTCGCGCCTGTAGCAGACGTTGTACATAGGCCCGCGCCCCACGCCCCGTCGGTCCGTTCAGCCCGGTCGACAGCTAGCGCAATAGCAAAGTTAAAACAAATCGAGTACAATACCGCGGAGGAACTAGCTGCAATTAGAAGGAAGCAATTGCAAATCGAAGAAGATCTCATCAAGAAGAAATACGCTAGGAACGTCGCTCAACTGCAAGAAGAAACGGATAGGGATAGTTTAAACGAAGACGATTTAGGGGAAAATTTCGTTCTCTAACCGCCTATCAACGTGTTCCCTACACGTTGATAGGCGGTTAGAGAACGTGGAGACTGTGCGGTTACGACCACGCTGAAGATGCCCAGGGGAGGTCGGTTGCGAATGATGTTCAACCGCGACGCGTAGATATGATACAGAGGGACAATGGAGTCGCCGTAGAAATGAAGCAGGTGGATCGCCGTGTACGGATTACGTCGCCGTGTAAGGATGTAGGTGCACGTAGATCGCCATCGCCACATCGCCACGCGGATCGTAGATTACCGTCGCCGTGTAATGATGTAGGTATAGATAGATCGCCACATCGCCACGCGGATCGTAGATTACCGTCGCCGTGTTATAGGGATGTAGGTGTACATAGGTCGCCAGCGCCACAGCGTAGGCTAGAAGGTAATAGGGATAGAGATAGGTCGCTCACCCTGCGAGGGAAAGATAGGGGTATAGATCGACTAGCGGAAGCCGGCATGATAAGACTTAGACCAGCCGCCGCGAAGCAGACACAGGAGTTGCCTATTTTCAACGGCTCGGCCGCGAAATGGTTATCGTTTAAAGCCGCGATGAGAGAGTCCACGCGTCTGTATGGATTCACCAACACGGAAAATATGGCAAGGTTAAGGAACTGTTTACGTGGTGAGGCTAGGGAGGTAGTATCGGCGCTGCTGTTTACCGCGAAGGATCTAGCAGACATTATGCGGACACTGGAGCAGTGTTTCGGCCGCCCGGAAGTAATTATTGATCGTGCGTTAGATGACTTGAAACGCCTTCCGCGCCCGGGTCAAACCGCCCAGGAGTTAAATTCGTTCGCTATTAAGTTGCAAAATATAGTATGTATTATGCAGAACGTCGACGGCAAAGGATATTTACAAAATCCGATGCTAACTAGGGAGGTTGCGAGTAAGCTTAGCCCTCACTTACGGTCGCGTTGGTGCGATTATGCGGAGCACTACGGAAGTGCGGACGAACCGAACATTGTCACACTATCCCGGTTTATGATGAGAGAGGCTGATCGTGCGTTAAGTCACGCCTATAGGGTCAGTAACGCCGACCAAGGAATCGCCCGTAAGACGAGAAGCGCCGCCGTCGAAAAGGATAGTGTTGACACGCCGCGTAGAGGATAGAGCCCGCGACGTAAAGACGTTCACCGCCCAGGAGGACACCGGTAGTGCCTCGTGTATGTGTTGTGGGGGTGAACACCCTATCGCCAAATTTAGGAAGCTGGCGCAGATGGGTTTGGACGACCGGTGGAAGTGGGTAAGAGAAGATGGGGTGTGCTTTAGGTGCTTAAACAGTAAACACCGACGCATACGTTGTAAAGCTAGGAAGTGCGGCGCCGACGGCTGCAACGCCCCCCACCACGCTCTCCTTCACGCCCGCAAGGCCCGCACGCCTGAAGCGTCGGTAAAATCGGATGAAACCGTGCTCGTCGCGTCGAATGTTAATAGTAGTGCGTCTGTATTATTGAAAGTGTGCCCCATAACCGTGCGCGGACCGCGCGGCAAGGAAGTTGATACGTATGCGCTACTTGACGAAGACTCTACCATATCGTTGATCGACGACTTAGCTCGCGAGTTAGGAGCAGAAGGACCGGTAAAGCCGCTCAATATTAGAAGCGTAAGTAATAGTCAACGCGAGGCCAATAGTAGGTTAGTAAATATAGGGATACGTGGCAAGACGCGCAGTGAGATGTATAATGTAAGCGCGCGAACAATAGCAGATTTAAAGATAGGCTCGCAGTCTGTGAGTAGGGAGTGCTTACGGTTGAAGCACTTACGCGACTTACCGAGTTCAGTATGTTACGACGACGCGAAGCCGAGATTATTATTAGGCGCCGACAATTGGCATTTAATAATCACCCGTAATTTGAGAATAGGACGTCGAAGGCAGCCCATAGCTGCACGTACGTTACTAGGGTGGGTAATTCAGGGAACCGTGCCGCGGTTAACGTATCGGGAAGACGGCGAGACCGTAATACACGTAGCAAGCATTGCACCGCTGAAGGGACTGTAGCACCGCCCAAATTTAGACGGAATCAAAAGCTTTCTCATAGTCCACATACGCAAGGCAAAGTGGCAGATTGTACTCTTTGGTCTTCTGTACCATTTGCCGAAGGATATGTATGTTTATGGTACCAAAGCCGTTTCGGAAACCGGCTTTTTTATATAGGATAGGGTGACTAACCAGCACACAGTCCACCTGATGGTAAGTGGCTACTGTGACCCATAGACATCTACATCTATCACCAATAAGATGCAGATGCGTTGCCACCCGTGAGGACTAAGATGGAATGCCTTTTTGCCAGTAATAAGGGTCTCCGGTTCTCTACACTCACCATACGAAACACAGCAGTGTTAAGCTGCTATTTTACGCTGGTTTTCTGTGAGAGCGTGGTCCTTCCCCGGTCGAACCGACCCATTCGTGCTACAATTATACTACTAATATAGCCGCAGCATGGCTCTACCACGTGAAAAAGTGGTAGAGCCATGCTGCGGGCTTGTTCGGGAGGCTGGAAGTCGTCAAGTCTGCGTGCGAGACGATTCGTAATGACTCTCAAAAACAGCACGTAGACGCGGCTCAGAAGGGAAATCGGTCTGTAGTTCTTCAAAAGGGCGTTGTCAACTTTCTTGATGAACAAGACCACCGCACTTATGCTCCACGTATCTGGTGTAGCCCCATCGTGGAGGATGGAATTAAAGAGCTGCTGAAGCACTTCAAGTACCGGTTTTCCACCCACCTTCAGAAGCTCCACTGTAATTCCATCCTCGCTTGGGGCCTTGCTATTTTTAAGGTGCTGGAGAGCCATTCTAATCGCACTCAGGCTGGCGTCCGGGATATCATTGGAATAGTGTCGGATAAGACTTGCTCTTGGATCGTTACTTACACTCGTGTGTGGCTCCAACGACCTACAGCTGGCTATAGAACCTCTCAATCTCACTCAAAATCTTAGGTGTCTCGGAAACGATGCTGCCACACTCGCTTTTCAGCTTTGACAATTGGCTCTTTCTGGTAGTCAGATCTCTGGCAAAGACTGGCGGCGATCGAAAGACTTTTTTAAATTTTTTTATTTAATTTCAGTAAAGTTACAAAAACAACAAATTCAATTAAAATGTAAAGTTACAAAAGAGGTTAAGTTATGCGTGTCAGACTGTAAGATAGTTTCATTGTCTCCATGGCGATTCTTTCCGCAGCGCAAACATTCCTCATTTGCCCATTGTTCTGTGTAACTGCTATGTCAGCCCGATTTCTGGGTTACGACACGTTAACTAGGGACGTCCTCAGTTTGCCTTAGGAGTAAATCGCCACTGGCCTCCCCCACAGAATTATGCTTGTGCTTCCTGCATACCTTACTCATTCGTTACTCAGTCAAGTGGGAGGCCACCTTACACTTCGCTTTTCATTAAGAGGCTACTACTAGAGAACTTTTCCTCCCCTTCGGTTGCTGGTTCTTCGAACTATGTCGCAGAGCGACCTTGAATTTATTCATAGAATCAGCGGTGGAGGACCACGTCTCAGATCCATGTGTCTGGCAACAAACACTCGTTCATCACGTAGAAAATATTCGAGCATTGGGTATCATTTATGGTAGATCAATCAAAAAATTATCACTTGTTATCATTTAATTTAAATATGTAACTTATCAAAAATGCCAATGTAACTTTCCTAAAATACCCATGTAACTTTTCAAAAATGCCAATGTAATTTTCAAACAAGCCATGCTGGCAGCACTGGTTGTCCATTATCGATGTCATTGAGTTTTTGCGGGAACTTGATCAGCGGCGTTTTGCTGCTCCTGTATTATTGTTTAAATAATGGTTTGAAGTGGACTTTGATATGTAAAAGTGGTGCGATTTTGTGTATTAATTGTCTACGCATGTGAACTATTAGTGGAAACAGTGAAACAAGTGCTCTGATGGTGATGGATTCTCAAGATAAGCTGTTTGTTTGTATAGGCGCCTTGAGATACCATCGCCAACTATCAGCTGTCTGCTGGCTCAAGTTGCCGTCAAAATCTCTCAAGGGCTGCACAATGTGACGCATCAACATATTGTGAAGCAGTGAACTATGAAGGATAATTATTTATAATAAACCGAATAAAAATACTCAAGACTTGGCCTAAAGGTCTAGATACCAGGCCATAAACTCCTATAAAAAAAAATATCGATGTCATTTGTTGACAATTGACTTTGACATTTGTCAGTTTGTCGATCGTCACTGGTCGGGTTTGTCATTTTGTTTCTGAAAATAGGAAAATTATTATCGACTTGCTTGGCTTTGCAATTCAAGACTTATTTGTTCTGTTTGTTAAAATGGCGCAGTCTGATTCTGTAAACGATGCTAATGTATTGGAAAATATTACAGAAATCTTGGATGGGCTCTCGGTGAGTTACTTTAATAAGTAAACCATTTCATTATATTGCAAATATTTGGTATTATTTGCTTACAACTTAGTGGAACTAAGCACCTCGCGATTATGCGGCATTTCTCTTGTGTTTTAGGCTAAGTATCAGTATGTATATAATTTAAAATAAGTAAGTTAATAGATACTGTTAAAATGTGTGTTTGAAATGTTTCATATATTGCAAACCGTAGGAGAGGGCTGGTACGTTGTCTCGGCGCGAGGTGTAAACGAGTTGTATATGTTTAATATTTTAAATATTACTTAATGGATAACAGAGGTTAGCTCTGATTGTTGACTCATGTGAATTAGATTTAAGTTCAATGGTATGTAACCTACAAACGAGTTGAAGCCTCAAACTTTTATGAGGGATAAATCTTGTTTTAATACTCAATACTTAATTTTTTGATCTTAAAAATACTGCACTACTAATAAGCACTTGTTGTGCCCAACACATTTACTTGGAGAATGGAGGTAATATTGAAATAACTATTATTATTTTTAATTATAATTATAAATATTTGTATGCTAATAAGACAGATGATTATTTTAAAATTTTTTGTCTGTCTGTCTGACTGACTATCTTTCTTCTTCTATTAAAACTTCACGAACAGTTGTAGGGCAATGTCAGAAGTGATCTGAGTTAAAATCCTAGTGTGGTGGTAAAGTTTTATAAAACAGAAAAAAAAGAAATAAACGGCTCCCAGTCTCCAGTGACTCCGCTATTCCTGGCTAAGGTAGCTACCATAGTAACGGTCGGGCATGGGGTGGCTAAGAATCTCCAATGGAGGTTCGGTTGTCACATAAGACAACTAGACTTGGCAACATTTTTTTTTTATAGGATAAGGGTGACTAACGAGCACACAGTCCACCTGATGGTAAGTGGCTGCTGCAGCCCATAGACATCTACATCTATCCTCTATTACAAATCAAAATGTAGATGCGTTGTCACCCGTGATGACTAAGATGGAATGCCTCATTTCCTGAAGAAAAGATCCTGGAACTGGAAGAAGAGATAGACAAGTTGAGCTGAGATATTATAGGATTATCTGAGGTCCGAAGAGAGGGGGAGGACACAATAATCTCCGAATCCCATAAGTTGTTCTATCACCGGGTGGGTGGCCATCAGTCGAAAGGAGGTGTTGAATTTATCACCCACAAGTGTTTCATTAACAACATAGTAAATGGTTTGAGTGTGGCTACGATAGTTGTGTACCTTATACTCAGAATCACCAAACAGTATTTCTTGAAGGTCATTTTTTATTTCTTGAAGGTTGTTTCTTTTGGTTCTTAATTCAAGGATAAATGTAGATTTCTATGGGTCACAGCAACCACTTACCATCAGATGGATATTGTGCTCCTTCTTTATAGAATAAGGGTGACCCTTATTCTATAAAAAAAAAGGTTTATGAATCAACCTCGGCACATCCCGATAAGAAGGTGGAGGAAATGTATGAGGATATCTCTAAAGCCATGTGTTCCTGCAAAACCCACTATACGGTGTTAATGTGAGACTTCAACACAAAACTAGGCACTAGAAAGAACAGTGAGCTGAAGATAGGGAAATTTGGAATAGGGCAACGTAACCCAAGGGGCCAGCAGCGGGCCGACTTCATGGAGAAACTAGGGACTCTTTATGATGAACTCTTTCTTCCAGAAGCAACCCCACAGGAAGGGGACCTGGTCAAGCCCCGACGGTTCGACAAAAAATTGACATCGACTTCATTATAATGACTAGACGGCAACTGTTCGGTGATGTCTCAGTGATCGCGAAGGTGAAAACTGGTAGTGATCACCGAATGTTTAGAGGCACACTGCACCTAAACGTTAAGTTGGAGAGGTCTCGTCTAATGAAGTCGACGCTCCGTCCCCTCGTGCACTAATCCAAAGTCCTGAAACCTTTTAGCTCGAGTTACAAAACCGTTTTCAGTGCCTAGAAGATTGCAATGCAGTGGACAATATGAATGAGAAGCTCATGGAAACTGTCCATGTGGTCGGAGCTAAGTTCTGCAAGACCCGTCGCAGAAGGCCACAAAAACTGTCCAATCACACTCTTAATCTCATGGCTATTAGACGAGAAATGAAACTACAGTCTTCAGCAGATTTGACAGCAACTAAATAAACCTCTAAATGCATGCGGCGGGACTTACGCAACTTTAATACTACTAGTATTGAAGAAGCGACTGAGCGGAACCAGAGCTCCAAAATCTTTTTCAGAGATCTGTCTGCCAGAAACTGCCAACTGTCGAAGCTGTAGACCGAATGTGGCAGCATCTTTCCAGGTCACCTGAGGTTTTGAGTGAGTGACAGGTTCTATGGGCAGCTGCACATGTCATCGTTGGAGCCACACGTAAGTATGAGTAACAGTTCAAGAGCAAGTCATAGTGTGGGACTGTTCTGATGATATCCCGGACCACCCAGTTTGAGTGCGATTAGAATGGCTTTCCAGCACTTTGAAAGTAGCAATTCCCCAGCTGAGGATGGAATTTCAGCAGAGCTTCTGAAAGCAGGTGGAAAACCATTACTTGAAGTGTTTCAGAAGCTCTTTGATTCTGTCTTCCATGGTGGCACTACTCCGGAGGCATGGAGCAGAAGTGCAGTGCTCTCTTGAAGGACTACAGACCGATTACTGATTTCGAGAGTGGTAACGAATAGTCTTGCACGCAGATTCGACTACTTTCAGTCTCCATAATAAGCCGGTTTCTGAAAAGGCTTTAGCACCATAGACCACATACATACCCTTCGGCAAATAGTACAGAAGACCGAGGAGTACAATTTGCTACTATGTCTAGCATATGTGAACCTTCAGAAAGTATTTTTTCTGTCGAAATTTTGGCGGTGCTGCAGTCCCTTCGGCGGTGCAAAGTTAACTGTCGGCATATCGAAGTGCTGAAGTGATTGTACAGTAGGGCTACGATGGCTATCCGAGTACAGAATTAGAATACGAAACCCATCCAACATCAGAAAGGTGTAAGAGACAAGGTGACGTTATATCCCTAAAACTTTTCACACTGCATTGAAAGATGTTTTCAAGCTACTGGACTGGAAAGGATATGGTATTAACGTCAATGTCGAGTATGTTACTTATCTTCGATTTGCCGACCATATACTCCTTAGGGCAGAATCGCTGGAGGACCCAAGCACTATGCTCAATGACCTAAATATAGTGTCTTCCAACTGATTAATTTATGTAAAATTTCAATTATTTGGGTGAAATTGTGTCTTGGAAAGCAACCCCCCTGTGATAGGATTAAATATTTGAGGGTTTCAACTCAACATTCTGTTGTTGATATTAGTTGATAGGTGCATTCATACTTCTTAACAAAGTTAACACAAGTCATAGTTATTTTAATTATAATTCAGTCTTCCACTTATTTTTAACCAAAAGCCAAAAGAAAAAAAAGGAGGACATCCATTGTTTCAGAACATTTTTCTAGTTGAACCGAATTTGATGATTCTTTTTTTTAATTTGGAATCTGGTGCTTCTTATGTGGTCCCATATAAATTTTATCAATATCTACCAGTAGTTTTTGAGTTATACTTAATAATGCGTATTTAATAGACTTCGACTAGAGTGCGTATTTAATAGAAGTCGGTTGTACAAAATTTTTTATTTTACTACTTGTTAACTATGAAAAAAATTAACACAGATAATTTTATATAGCCAGCCACAATTAGCTGAACCTAGTTGTATCCGGCTAAATCCTAATAGCTAGATAAATGAAATATTATTATTACCATTAGATTCTTCATAAAGATATATGTCACAATGATATAGAAAGGACAATTATTGATATGATTTTACACTTTACACCCCCAAGCAAAAAGTGTCAGTAATCGTAAAACTTAAATTTTACAGGAAAAATTATTTACTGTTTTTGTGGCATAACTCAGGAACGCGTTCCTATATTAAAGCGGTTGATATATCAAATGAAAGTTAATTTTTTATTGAATCTAATCTTAAAGTTGACATCAAGTTAAATAATTTTGAATGCAAGCAGTATGGGAATATAGAAATTACTGAAAATGCGTTCACAGTGTGTTTCAGTATTATTAACTTAAGATATTATTGTGGTAAATTTTTCAAAAGTGATGTTATAGTAACTTTATACTACTGACTTATTGGACCATTTTTTATTTTAAAAGGAAAAATGTATTGTACTATAGCATATTTATTGCTGTACTTTAAAATAGATTGTACAAATGCAAAGACATAAACCCTGTTTTTGCCGTAAAAATCAATATTATATTTTCTAAGTACGTCATACTTTTTGCAAGATATTAAAGTGTAATGTCAAGTTTTATGAAAAAAAATATAAAAACAATAAATATAATCATATTAATTTATTTTATATTATCAAAATCACACAAAGTCACCATAGTAGGCGTAAAATATTTAAATTTTAATAAATATCACAAATTGTTATGAGATCAAACAAGTGGTAAAATTAAACATTTTGTACAACTGATTTCAATATAAATTATTAAGGATAACTCAAAAACTATTGGTCAGATCTTGATCTTTACATGGGACCACATGAGAAGCACCAGCTTTCAAATAAAAAAGAATCATCGAAATCGGTTTACCTACAAAAAAGTTATGAGGTAACACACAAAAAAACTTATATCTGAAAAGCTATCAGTTTCCGTGTCAACCCCTTTTTAAGGGAATTTTGCCCTCCATGCCCTTGCCCTAATTCTTCTACTATGCATTTCACACAGCAGGATACTAAAAACGAACTAAGGCTATAATATATATGTACCAGCTTTTCAGGACGGCAAAATTCAAACATTTGTTTTTTATTGTTAGACTTTTTAAAGTTATTTTTTTCGTTAACCACTTACAGAAAGAGGTTCAAGAATTGTATGCATTCAGAGACCTATATTTTGAAAACAATTCACTCGAACTAGCAGCAGAGAAGAATAAATATGTTGAAGAGAAAAAGAATTTGCTAGTTGAGAAATTTGAATCTATAGATGGTAAGGAAATGTTTTACATATCTCAAGGCGACTAATTTTTTTTTTACTAAGGCTAATAAATATTAGTTGTAGTAGTAATAAGTATTTGAGTAATATTTTAAATAAAATAGTGGCCTTTAGCGCCAAAGCAAAAAGTATCACCTTCACGCTGCAGCTTGGGATTTGCCTCAAGTGTTACGTTTGCCAAAATAATTAATGATCGCAGTACTCTACAGCAATCTCGCGTCTTTGATGCTTTTGTCTGTTGTGGGTCTAAATGTTTTACGTCTGGCTTAAATTTGATGGTGGCGGATGGTGGTACTATCCGTTTGACGGCTCCTTGGTGCGCAGTGGCTTAGCAATGATTTGCAGCGCTGAGGGCCGCAGGGACGCCAGGGTTCAAATCCTGCATGAACAAGTAGTGTTTGTATACCTACAAATTGTTCCGGGACGGGATGTTTGTCCTTGTGAAATTTATGTATGTTAACTGATGGAGAAATAAATTCCGACTGCGCAACCTCCAAAACCAGGTGAAACAGCGCGTGAAAGAGTTTAGATTGCGTCCCTGGACGGTTCTCGCCGCCCAGAAAACGAACGATTTGTTCGGATGGCCGTTAGATAACTCATCCATGTTATGTTAATGTGATCACTGAACTGAACACAATATTATCCCACTCCCCCAAAATTATCGATTTTAGTGCAGCGTCGCGTCCGCAACGTTGCACTAAAATAAATAATCTCCCCCACTCCTTTTTAAATCTCTTTTAGAGCTCTGAGTTCTATAAAGCTGAAAGAGTCGCATAGGCTAACAGCATTAACATCACAGAAACTAGACTAAATTGATAGAGAAAATCCTAGTGTGCAGGTAAAGTTAAAAAAAAATATACTTAGTAGCATCTTACGACACCCACGAGACAAAATGGGTGATGGATTCCTTCATCATTCCTTATATACCTACTTTTTGTATAAATTTTAAAACTACTCTGTGAATTAATGTGCATACAATTTTAAATAAAAAAATTGTTTTAGTTGATACCCAAGTTCCTTTTTCACTCCGAGCACAGTTCCTCCTTTTAAAAGGTCGATGCTATAACATCAGTACTACATACGACGCAAGGGCATCCCAATGTCTTAGCAAAGCAGTAAAATTAAACCCTCACCTTGTTGATGCTTGGAATGAATTAGGCGAGTGCTACTGGAAAAATATGAATGTTAAAGATGCGAAGGCTAGCTTTGAAGGTGCCCTGAAACATGTAAGTGGGTATAATGTGTTTTTTAGTAAAGTGCAATGATAAACAAGCTGACATTCAACGTAAGTAGTGTTGACCAAATACAAGAACAAGACGAGACTTAGCAAGTCTTGGTCTTGGTCTTGCGCCAATACACCTGGTCTTGGTCTTGGACTTGGTATTGCGCTCCCAGTCTTGGTCTTGGTCTTGCAGCAAGAGTCTCGCAAGTCTCGCAATTACCTATTAGCCTATTACTATTTATTAAACGTTACTTTAGACCTTAGAACAATTTAACAGAGTAGATACATATTGAGCTTGAATTAACATAGCCATAGTAAAGACCAACCATATTAATAAATGTCTAAACATTTAATGAGAAATTCGAAAAATCAACTGACACCGGGTGGGGTTTGAACCCACGACCTAAGCGATCCGTGCCGATGCTCTAACCAACTGAGCTATCTACCGTGTTCCACGGCCACGGGCGTCAGTTTCTTAATAAACGTTTACATTTAATAAGCTTGTGCTAAAACATGGTTAAACATAGGTACAAATAAAAACAAATTAATGGCAATAACTACACTGTATTTTAAATAACATTATCTCTCTAGAAAGAGATTGATGGACCCTCACCATATATGAAATGGAATAAGAGAGTTATACAATATACCATTTATTTAAATAAAAAATAAAATACGATGCAAATTAAATTACTTCACAGTATGTACACAACAGCTTTGACATGATGATGAATGATATATTTATTTTTTTAACAAAGCATTTATACAAAGTAACCATCTGGCTGACTCATCACTTAACCTATTTCTATGTTTTCTAATTACTAATGATGCTTTAGAAAATAATCTCTCAGCAGGTACTGAAGTTGCAGGTAATTAAAAGAAAATCACGAGCCATCTTCGATAAAATCGGATATTTTGTCTCATGCGTCCTCCAACAGTCTAAAATGTCTTCCGAGATGACGGCTCTGGATTTACTTAGGTACCCCTCCAACTCCTTAATAACTAAGCCTTGAAGACAAGATCCAGATCCATTTTTACACATTTCAAGTGTTTTAAAAGTGCTATGGTGTCAACCATATTTATCAAATGTGTGACGACATATTCGAGCACTTTGTGTTTTAAAAACACACACTTGCAAAAGTCGAGATTTGCAGTGAACTTACTGAACATGTTTATCTTTTAGGTAATAATAATAACAATAATAGTAAGTAATTATTATAAATCCATATAGTTAATTTTATAATAATTACTTACTAGAATAAATTATTATGATACCTACCTATTATCTAATTACAAGATTTCTTGCGAGATCAGGATAATGTATTCGTGTCCATTCTGAGCATCCGGAAACTTATTTTATTCTTTGAAACATGTACTCTGTGGCGGCAATCAAACAGTGTCAAATGTAGTGCGTGTGGCGCAGCGGCGACGATTGTATGCGATATCAATAGTAGCCGCCGGCACGTGTATCTTGACCTTGTACTTTCGAATAGCTGCACAATTTCTTTGACAGGTCAGTATCCGACCTTTGATGACGCCGACAACAAGACGCCGCGCACCATCAAAGTGCCGATGGTCAAAACTAGGGATGCACTCTTTTTTCTTTTAATGGATATTTTCATTCGCTATGTATATTTATGGTATTGTTCGTAATGCGCATAAGTCCAATTTTCCATTTTTTTTTTTTCATTATATTTTTTGCGTCTCATAGAGTAGAGAGTAGACCCGAACTCCTATACTCCCTGAAACGACACTTAGTCCTAACTGCAAGACGCAAGAGTCTCGCAAGCTAAGTCTTGTTCTTGCGCAAATCTTGCACGGTCAGTCTTGGTCTTGGTCTTGCTAAAAAGAGGCGCTCTTGTTCTTGGTCTTGGTCTTGCAAAAATGCAAGAACAAGACCAAGACTGCAAGACCAAGACCGATTTTGGGCAACACTACACGTAAGGGTATGTGGCTATTGCAGCCGATTGACGTCAACTTTACTTCAAATTAATAATTATACTTTCAAATATAATATATATTTTATTAATATTAAAAACAAGTTAATTATATGGGCTCCTTTTTCTTACATTTGATTATATTATCGTAAATATTACAAATCTAATACATAAAAATTAATTTTTGTCTGTTCGTATGCGCTGCCATACCGTTCATCAGATTGCGGTAAAACTTTGTCAACTTATTGCTGGCACTTGCGTGAAGGTTATAGGCATAGTACAATTAACTTCCAGTCGGTGGCGTGTGTATCGCAACAACAAATTTATTTGAAAGTTATATATAATTGAACTTCAGTGAATGTATTATCATTCCTAATTAAACAATACAATTCCAAATTTAAGACGATAGGTAGATTGAAATATTCAATCTCAGATTTTTAAACATAAACTTTTTTTGGTTTTTGTATTTTAATATTATTTGTATGCAATATTAGGAACGAAACCGTCTTTCACTACGTTGTCTTTCAATCATTCTTCGACAAGAAAGTAGTGGCAAAAAGCGCAGTGAAGCAGTTTCCCTGATCCTGAAAAGTGTTGAATTAGCCAAGGAGGCAGTTTCGCAGGATATTAAAGATGGTGTTTCATGGGCAGTATTGGGCAATGCATATCTTTGCCAATTCTTCACAGTAGCGCAAGATCCAGCTACCTTGAAGTTGTGCTTGAGTGCATACAAGCAAGCATGGTTGGATCCAGTAGCTAAAGGACAACCTGATTTGTATTACAATAAAGGAATTGTAAGTACATATTTATAGTCTAGTAGAACCTTTTTCATATTATTTATTTATAAATTATAAATGGACATACACTTGTATTTAACTTTTAATAATACAAATAAATTATAACAAATTATAGTGGTAATAATTATTTATTTATTTAGGTACACAAAACAGTATAACATCAAAACATGAACAACGTGAACAGAATAAGTGCGAAGTTACGATCTGTATAGTATTCCAAAACATGGACCTAGAAAATAGGGCGGACAGTCTCGCTAAAAAACAATTGAATCACCGCAATGGCGGCCGCGTAACTACCTAGTCAGGTCATAAATTCTGTCACATGTTTAATATAAAATAATTGAAACAAGTTTATTCATTATGTAACCATTTATATACCAAAATGAACTTAACAAAACACAGATTCTTATGACACTAAAGTTTATTCAAAATGACCTCCGTGATTTTGAATACAGGCCTTCAATCTGCACGGCCAGTCGTCTATCGCAGCACAAACGAGGTCCATGTCAATATCGGCGGCTGCCGTAATCAAGGATGTCTTGAGTGACTCCGAATTGGGATGAGGCTTTGAGCACGCCTTTTCCTCCAAGTGTTGCCATATCTTGTAATCTAACGGATTCAAATCTGGACTGGAGGAGGGCCAGTCTTCGTGCCGGATGAAGTCGATTTCACGCGCCGCCAGCCAGTCTTGTGTGCTCTTCGCTCTTTGAGCTGGCGCCGAATCTTGTTGGAATACCCAATGCCTGTTATTGAACATGGTATGAGAAACAGGTTCCACAAGGTTCGTCAGGACTGTATTTTGATACACAACTGCATTCGTTTTTACACCTTTCTCACAAAAATGTACCTCTGTTAAGCCCCAATAAGAAACTCCCAACCATACCATGAGCGAGGATGGAAAATGACCTCGTTGGACACGCTGAATACGGTTGCTCGCTTCTTCACTACTGTGTGCGTACACCTTATCATTTTGTTTGTTGTAGCTCTCTTCTACGGTAAAAATTTTTTCATCCGAAAAAAGAATTTCCCGATATTTTTTTCCCACGTACCGCTTCAACAAAGCGCGGCATCTCGTCAGTCTCAGGTCCATTAGACGAGCATTCAAACGATGTCCTGTTTTTCTTCGATATGCCCGAATCCCTAAGTCTTCATTTAACACCCTTTTCACCGTGGTTCTGCTTAACCCCATCTGAAGGGCCAACAGTTTCTGCTTACGTTTGGGATTTCTTTGAATTCGCGCCTTCACAGCTTTTATCACTGCTGGAGTCCTAACAGACCGAGGGCGACCACTTCTTGACCTGTCATCTACACTAGAGTCTTTATTGTATCGTTTGATGGTACGATAAACGAATCTTTTGGTTATATTCAAATTTTTCAGTATGTCAAAAATTTGAATTGGCGCGTAACCGCAACGATGCAACGCAATAACTACAACACGGTCTTCTTTAAGCGTCCACTCCATATTTAAAAATGAGTAAAATTCTAAAAAGTATACAGTTTTATTTTCATGAACAATTCGAAATTCGAATTCAATAAACTTTTTTGTGGCCAGCATTCTAAAAGAAAAGTTTTTACTGTGTGACAATACTTATGACCTGACTAGGTATATATGACCGTGTAGAGGGTTGCCAGATGGAGGAAAATTACCCATTTTTAAAGCAAAATAATTCAATTAAGTTTAAGACATTTGTCACCGTCCTCGGAATCAGGACTTTAAGTTTAATAAAACAAAATTGAAATAAAATACATTGAATATAAACATATTTACATTTGTTAATTTACATTTTTCAACGGTTTTTTAGATTCCCTTTTGTTGGGTTCATTTTTTATAACATTGTCTTTTACTGTCTTATTTATATTGTCTGAATTAACCTCTCAGACCTTGACATTTTATTGGACATACTTAGTTAGAACTATGGTCAAGCCAAAGAGTATAGTAGGTCAGGCCAGACGATTTTTTAAAAAAATGGTAAAAATAACTTAGAGTCATTACTATGTTCATATCCAAAAATAAAAAATTATCAACAATTAAAATATCGAATTATTTATATGAAGGTCAAGTGAGCGCTAGAGTGACGACGATTGCAAGACGATTTGTCGATAAATGAAATGTTTCGAGAAATTATCAATTACTGTGTAGTGGCGGTGTATGAATATTCATACTATTCCGTGGGTTTCGTAAGAGGCGACTGATCCACTGTTCAATACAACAAGGTACGTGTACCGTGGAACAGAACGTGGCAACTATGACAAGTATACCCTCTATGAGGAATATAGTGGAGGCCTATGTTCATTGGGGGTTTTTATAGGATGTAACGGTCCATCACCAGCAGTGGAATGAAACTGTAAGGAGAGGGAGGGATTAATTTTATTATTTAAAAAAATATTTTTGTGTTTTTTTTTTATAGAAGAGGGGGCAAACGAGCATGCGGCTCACCTGATGGTAAGTGACTACCGCCGCCCATGAACAACCGCAACACCAGGGGAATTGCAGATGCGTTGCCGGCCGTTTAGAAAGGTGTAAGCTCTTTTCTTGAAGGTCCCTAAGTCGTATCGGTCCGGAAAATCCGGACTTTGTGGGATATGAAAATTTGTGTTTATTACATGATTTATTGTGATAACTCACACTTTTTATTTACTTTTCAGTTAATTCTGGCTATTAAATATAGTGATACGTGAACGACACAGTATTTGAAATGGCAATTTTATAAAATATATGAAATTGTTACGAAGCAAAATATAAGGAATTAAATTTTAAAACAGTGTAATTACTTACCATTTGTATAAAAACTAACAAAAAACTTTCTATTGTACCCACTTAATTTTTTGTAAAATTTCGAGTTGCCTCTTACACTCACGCGGCGAAGGATATAAGACTAAAGTATGTGACGTAAACGCGACGCGAGGCGGAAACTCGTCATTTGAAGTAAATTCTGTTAATTTAAAGAAGCGTAATTTAATAACGAAACTAATTCTAATAAAATTTTAGTTTTATAGTTCATCTAAATAACATTTAAAAAATAATTGTTATGAGCACAATAACTATGGTTCTGACTAAACGTAGTGATCATATACTCTTTGGTTCTGAGGGGTCCTTTCTAAATATTACCATACTCTTTGGAGCGTTCTACAAAGTTGACCTTGGATTGCCTCATGTGTACTTCAAAGGCTTGACAGATTAAGGAACATTTCAAAGTGAACAAAAAGATACTAATCTCCCATATTTAAGGTAACTTTCAAGCTTAATAACTGGCAACACTGATTAGTTTCGTGTTTTGATAATTTATTTTTGTTAATATAATGTTTTGATAATAAAGTTTGAAATAAATTAAAGTAAACACGAGAAATAAGGTGAATAAATTACTTACCTATGAAAAGTGATCCCCTGGCTATTTTTAATGGAACCACTATGGTTTCGACAGGTTTTCACTACACAAGACGGCATCTTTCAACTCGTAATAATACGCGGGCGGGGTTTGGAGCGTAATGGCGAGCGGTAGAATTATTATGGTGTGCATGTGTGCGTGCTAGCTTCTTTGTATTAGCGAGCTGACTTACTATGGGTGCGTTAGTAATTATTTTAAGAGACGGCGTCCGCCCTTTTTTCTAGGTCCATGTTCCAAAACATGTGTACACAACATGGTAACAGTAACGAATTTACAGCACAAATACTTACACTTATAGCACAAATTAAGCCTGGAATGTCTTATCTACAAAGTATATCTAATACGGATTTTTTGAAATTGTTTATTTTATTATTGATTATGTCAATATTGAATTATTATATAAATAATCTTATATATTATATCGTACGTTACATAGTCACGTTGCTGCTGTGTTACGGCTGCCTATACTAATGGATTGGCTCTACTGGGGCAGGATTACGCTCTCTTACTGAATTCAAGCGTGAAATAGCAAAATGCTGCTGTGCTTTCGTATGATTAGTGATGAGAATAGGATATTGTTTTTACTGGTAACGAGGCATTCGATCTTAGTCCTCAGTAATAGTCGCAACGCATTTGCATTTTGATTCTTAATCGCGTATAGATTAAAATTATATATATATATATATATATATATATATATATATATATATATATATATATATATATATATATTATAATGAAACTGATTTTTACGGATTCTATCGCGTTTAATTTAACTTTTTAATTCCAGACGTTTCGGGTGCTTTACAGCACCCATGGTCACGGGGGGACTAAGATGTTTGACGTCCCGATGTCATAGTAGTTAGCCCGGCTACCTTCAGTTACCAGAGTGTAGAGAACCGGAGACCCTTATTACTGGCAAAAAGGCATTCCATCTTAGTCCTCACGGGTGGTAACGCATCTGCATCTTATTGGTGATAGATGTAGATGTCTATGGGTCACAGTAGCCACTTACCATCAGGTGGACTGTGTGCTCGTTTGTCACCCTTACCCTATATAAAAAAAAAGTTAAATTAAACGCAATAGAATCCGTAAAAAAAAGTTTCTTATTTAATGTGTAGTCTTCGCGTAAATATAAGAAATCACTACGCGTATAGATGTAGGAGCGTGTGCTTGTTTGTCACCCTTATACACGTCTAATTACTTTTTTGACTATGTTCCTTGAGTCCTTTATTACCATTGTATTGTTATTCCTATTTTTGATATATAACAAATAGTTTTGCAGAAATGCTAAATGTATAAATGGCGAACCGTGTAGTGGCGGTGTAAGAATATCGACTGTCGCATATCATCCCGTGAGTGTCTGAAGAGGCGACAGAGGAAATCTGAACCAGTATCTTCCCAATAACAACTACGAGTAAATAAAATGATAAACTGCGGTTGACCAACCTTGCGGCCAAACGTGGGGCAATCAATAAGACGGCCTATGTTCAGCAGTGAACATTTGATAGGCTGTAATCATCGATCAGTAATAAAAAAACTAGATACGCAATCAGTGAGAAAAAATGTCCTTACCGAATGAGCGCCCACTCGAACATTTGGGTGCGTTTTTAATTTGTACGTAGTTTTGTAAATACAACTTTAGTCAATGCATTTAAGGTTGAATTTACATTAATGTATATTTATTTCAACTAGAATTACGTCAAAACAATTGGCGACAGTTTTTGGAGAACTTTTGCATGGGATTGTGTAACTAGTTTTTTTTTTTTATTAGTGTTCGACGGCTGCAATGGATGGATAACATACACATCTACTTTTTCAATTCCAGGCATTAAAGTACGAAGAGAATTACGATGAGGCGTTGGAGAACTTCGATTACGCCTGTCGTTTGGATCCGCCGTGGCAGCCGCCACAAACCGAACGCACAAAACTGGTGCAATATTTGACCGATACGAATGACTTGGTGCGCACACGTGGAAAACTCAAAGCCAAGCGCTTTGCACAAATGGTGCAGGTATGTTGATGAAGAACATAACAAGTTTAAAGTTTAAAACAGTAATTGATAAAACCGTCTGCGCAAAAAAAGTTTACTGAAGAGGAAAGTTTTATTATATCATATGTCACTTTTACAACTAATGATTCTAACGACACCTCTATGTTAAAATCTATCAAGTTGTTTAGGCTACAGAGCGTGCCAAATAAATAAATAAATAATACATACATGTATTATTTATATATTTACTAGCTGTTCCCCGCGACTTCGCCCGCGTGTTATTTGGGGTTTTAATATTTTTGCGCGGAACGAACCCTAATTATTTTTTTAAAATAAAAGTAGCCTAAGTTACTCCTTATAACATCAAGTCCAGCCGTTTCAGAGATTAGCACAAACAGACAGACAAAAATTTTAAAAATTGTGTTTTTGTTATAAGTACCGTATGTACTTTCATTTGCATTCAGTAAAAAGCCGTAATTTTGACATTATAAACAGACACTTTAATTTTTTTTATTTCAATAGATAATTACATGGTTTGTTAAAATAGATACATTAATCCCTTGTTGGGACATCATTTTAAGTAAATATATACCTGTGCCAGGATGTCCCTCTCTTCTGTATACCCTCTGAAAATGTTACCCGCCTTTTGGGTGGTCGGGTAAAAATTAATTGAAATTTTGCCGCCATATTTCTTTGTCGAATATCAATATTTTGATAATTTAATATATTGATATTCGACAAAGTAATATGTAAATTAAAAATAATAGTCTCCGGATACTTTGGAGTGTAAGAAATGCAAGAAGTTGATTGCGGATGTCTCAAGACCGTGGTTTATGGTATTCTTTGGAGGAGGCCTATGTCCAGCAAATGACTTCTGAAGGGCTGTTATGATTATGATGATGAATTAAAATTCAAACCAAATAAACAAAATACCAGACCATAAAACCTTGTTAATTGCTTAATCGAATCTAGTTAGTTAATTTTAGTTCTATTAAGGACTAAGTAAAATCACAACCTTAATGTCGTCTAAACAGTTACATTAAAAACTTCATCCCCTATTTCACCACCCTTAAAGGTGGTTATTTCTTATCTAAATTTGTATAGGCCTACCCCTGAAGTATGGCTTATTTAATAAATAAAGAAAACATTGAAATGGGCTTACAATTAACGAAGATATCGCGTAACATACATAAATATTTTAAAATTAAAAAAAATTGTACAATCTACTTCAATAAAAGTTATTAAGAATAACTCAAAAACTAATGGTCAGACCTTGATTAAATTTATATGAGACCACATGTGAAGCACCAGCTTTCAAATAAAAAAAAGAATCTTCGAAATCGGTTCACCCAGTAAAAAGTTATGAGGTAACACACATAAAAAAACATACAGTCGAATTGAGTACCGTCTCATTTTGGAAGTCGGTAGAAAAATAAACTTACAGTTGATTCTAAACTTCTTCCTCTTATTTAGAATCGTTAAAAATTAAAATAGTTTATAGTGTTATTAAGAATTCCTTGTTATTTTTAGTCCCTTGATAAGAAGATGCTGGATGTTTACGGACCGGGCAATTTTCATACATTTGGTACGCGGCGTAACGTCGTTTTGGAGTATTCACGTTTGGATGCGTTAGTGGAAGGCGCTAATGAGGGCAAAGTCGTGCTGGGGAGGGTGGTCGGCTCCATACACAATGGGAATGCTGTTCCTTTGTAAGTATAGTAAAGTCAGTAAGCTGAAGTGGCAATAGGCTGGCCAAATAGCTCTAAGAACCGACAACCAATGAGGAAGAAAGACTCATACCGCTAAGCGAAGTGTAAGGCGGCCCCCTATTAGATGGAGTGACGACATAGTAAGACATGCAGCAAGTCGATGGATGCAAGCGGCTCGGGACCGTCTTTTGTGGCATTACCTGGCACGCTGTCCGCTTTTCACAAGTCCGCTGCTGAACATAAGCGGGAGGCCTGTAGGGAGCTGTAGTATAGTTTTATATTTTTTTTACAGGAGGGGGCAAACGAGCATGCGGCTCACCTGATGGTAAGTGACTACCGCCGCCCATGAACCACTGCAACACCAGAGGAACCAGGGGAATTGCAGATGCGTTGCCGGCCTTTTAAAAAGGAGTAGGCTCTTTTCTTGAAGGTCCTTAAGGGACCGTTCAAGTATTACGTAACGCAATTTTTGAAGATTTTTGACCCTCCCACCCCCCTATGTAACGCGCCGTAACGTTTATCTAGACCCCCCCTCCCCCTCTCTAAACGTTACGTAACACCCAAGTGACCATTTTTACGTAAAAGTTTTGCGCAAATTACCGGAAATTCGCTAAAATAACTTTGTTATTGTTTTAGTCGCGTTTGCGGTAATCTATACATATAATAAAACTGTAAATAGCAGATGTCTGTACATTTTATATTTTTGTAATAAAAGTGATTGAGGGGTACTAAAAATAAGTAATTAAATACATTTCTACCATTTTTAGAATTTTCTGTCTGTCTGTCTGTTTGTTTGTTAACGTATCACGTTTAAAGTACTAATTTATATCATAAGAATTGTTAAGGAAATTCTAAAGTGTACCTTCGGGTTACATTTAGTCTTTATTTCATTAAAATCGGTTCATTCCATCAAAAGTTATGATAAATATTCTGAAGTATGGGTAGGAAATTTGCTCAACGGTGGCTTTGTTTGAGTCATCAAGTTGATGTTAGCAGCGCCATCTCTCTTTAATTAAATATATACATATAATAAAAATGATAACATGTTGTGTCTCTTTCTGTACATTGTATATTATATATTTTGGTGACTAAAATTATTATGGGGAACTAAAAATAATTAAATAAGTACATTTTTATAATTTTTAGAATTGTCTGTCTGTCTGTTTGTCTGTTTTATATGAATGCATCACGTCTAAAGTAAACATCTTTCTTTTTTCAAAGAAATTTGTTTTATTAAAATTGGTTAATTCTATCGAAAGTAATGATTATTATTTTAAAATATAGGTTCGAATTTGTTCAATGGCGCCATAAAAATCTCAGAAATAGTAATAAAAAGAATTGTGTGTAAAAAAAACGTTCCATAATAATTAATATATTTATACTTAAAACATAAAAAGACATTTAAAAAAGGATGTTTTCTCACACAAAGGACGTAATAGATGGAGTTGTACAAATTACAAACTTTTCTGATTTGCTGTGTTGAGATTTTTCGCCGATGAATCGTATTGAGACTTACTGAAGAAATTTGTATCTATCGAAGCCATACAACGGAACCCGAACAAAAATAACAAAATTGCAACGAAATGTCGTGATAATAATCAGTACTGCCATTTTAGCGCTTTGGGAACACTAGATTTAGCGCTTTTTTTGAATGTATAGCGCGCATTTCGAAATTTTAGCACCTAGCACTTAATCCAGCGCTTTTTGGTGTATTTAGCACACATTTCAAAATTGTAGTGACTAGCGGGTTATTAACTCTTTTATAGCAGCACTGTTAGTCCACATTACCGATAGTAATAATAATGACCTTTATTATTTTTTTCCACAAATAGTACATTGCAGTTTATCTATTTCAAACATATTTTTTCCATAAAACAAAGAGCATGGGAGACGAGTCCAAACTAGGATACCCTGTGCTATGGATCTCCCGGCTTCCCCTTTAGGATTATCAACTTGATTTTTTTTATCGACGACGACGAAGGAAATCCCCTTCATTAAAGTTTTCGTTCATGGTTTTGGCAACGCATTTATTTTGCTTTATTCAGTTTTAGTCAGTTGTTTAGAGCACGGCTAAGTTAAAAGTTACTTAGAGTAGTACTAACTACTGTTGACAGCAATTGCCATAATTATAAGTCGATGTCCTGCGAAGTATTGATACATCAAAAAATATTGCCAGAAAAAAACTTAATGTTGTTTTCTTTATTATGATTATATTTTCTTGAATTATAAATTATAATAAAAAACACAAACTTTGTTTGTAGTTAATTTAGCGCGAAATCTAGGACTTTTTTAAAGCGCTGTTTTCATGAAATCTAGCGCTTTTTGTGTTGTCCTAGCGCTGAATGAGTTTTTTTGATCTGGCTGCACTGCCAAAAAACCCTCTATTAAGAAGTAACTTTACTTTCAGTTTTAAGCGCGTTCAGTTCCCAGTTACAGTCAGCGTGTGTTATGCGATGACCGTAAATAAAGCGCAAGGTCAAAATTTACGCGTTGTAAGAGTGGACCTCAGTACTGACTGTTTTGCACATGGCCAACTCTATGTTGCTTTATCCCGCGTTAGTAGCCCCCGTAACCTTTTTGTGTACACCCCGTCTAAGTCTACTTCTAACGTAGTTTACACCGAAGCTCTATCATAAACCACTTAGAACTTTGATGATAATGATTTATTTGTTACCACTTATTGATACAGTAATGATATAAATCGTTTAATATTGTCTTACCTAAATGACAAATTATGTAAAATCTATATACGCGAGCTACGCCGCGGGCACAGCTATCTAATATATAAAATTCTCGTGTCGCGGTGTTTGTTACCAAACTCCTCCGAAATGGCTGAACCGATTTGTATGAAATTTTGTGTGCATATCGGGTAGGTGTGAGAATCTGCCAACGTCTATTTTTTAAACCCTTAAATGATAAGGGTGACCCACCCCTAAATATTTATTTTTATTTTTTGACAATTTTCTTTATTTCTATTTTATTATGATTTAACATTGAAAAATACATAAAACTTCAAATTTTCACCAGTCTACGATCTACCCCTGTTTATTAATCGCGATTTTTAAAACTAAAAAATAATTCTTTGAAATAAAGTATATAAAAAAACGTTTGCCGAGTCAGCTAGTCTATAATATAAAAATGAATCGCTGAATGTGTTTTGCTAAGCGCAAATCTCGAGAGCAGCTGGACCGATTTCGCTAATTCTGTTTTATAATATTCCCTGAAGTACTAAGATGGTTCTTACGGAGAGAAAAGTTTAAAAAATTGCCTGAAAAAGTATAAAAACAACATTTTTCTATATTCCCAAACAAAAGATTCGTAACAATACTTAAAAGGCAATTTGAACTTTAATACCATACCAATAAAGTTTAAGTGTTAGTGGAGGGGTTCCGGGAAGGCAAAACAATTGAGTGACGGTATTATCGTATAAATATAATATCGTATCGTATCCTATAAATATTTGTCAATATTTCTACGAAGGTAACATTGCGGTACGAAGTTCGATGGGTCAGCTAGTAATAAATAAAACGAGATTTCTTCCTCGCAATACATTGTTGATTGTTTATTTTATTTATTCATATAGTTATTTAATAAACAATCACACAATGTAATAAACATTTGCTTAAGTTTAAAATATGTTCAAATGGGCTCAAATCAGTCCTAATAAACTTTTACTACTAACCTTACATTTAATTACGCCGTTTTTTTAACTTGACCTTTTCCTTACATACATTTTATTAAATAAACTCTTAAAATAAAATAATTTATTTATTTTTACCTTTGGCAATGCAATGTAAAAAACAAACAAAAACTTGTGTCTGAAGTCGAGTCTTTGCTGAACAAAGTCTCAATACTCAATATTTATTTGCATTCCATAATGTACAAATAAATAAATTAAATTATCACAATATGGACCCTGTTGGGTGTAGCAAATTAGAAAATTAGAACAGAGGAGGACGCATAGCTGTTTTATAATTCATTATTATTATTATATCATTCATTATTATTATATCATTTATTATTTTTATTCCATAATTATTCATATTGATCATTAATTTATTTATAGTATTGCATTTGTCATTCAGGTATTCATATAAAGTATAATAACATTTATTGATTAGAAACACTTTTAATTGTCTTATAAAAATATTATCATTTGTTTCGTTTTTTAATGAGTTTGGTAGTTTATTATAGACATTTATGGACATTACGTAAGGGCCTGATGAGAAGAGCTTCATTTTAGAGGGTGGTAGCAATAATTTATTTTCATATCTAAAACTATAAGCCGTATTTTTAGTTTCTCTTTTTACATATAAATTAGGGTATTTTCGCACGAATATGTATAATTCCAATATATAAATACAAGTAAGAAGTTTAAGTTTCTTAAAATGAGGACGACAACTTTCAGTATTTTTTATGTTAGACATAATGCGAATTAGCTTTTTCCGTAAGATGAAGATGGTGGGTGCATCTGTACTGTTGCCCCACAGGATAATACCATACCTTAATAATCTCGGATTGGGGGCGACTAAATCTAGTCCAGTTCATTCCCCAGAAGACACAAGTTTGTGCGTTAACCGCTAAAAAGAACCCCTTTGTCGTATCTCCTCAGTTTCAAGGCACTCCCCTTGCTACCTCAGCTAGCATCGGAAACCTCGGCGTCAACCTAAACGAAAAGGGTTGCTAACTTGGGAGATTTTAATTCCCTCGTTTTTTTATTTAAAATGAAAAAATGTTACGTAACGCGTTGGTCGAACCCCCCTCCCGCCCCTGTAACGCGTCGTAACGTTTTACAAGACCCCCCCTCCCCCCAAATTGCGTTACGTAATACTTGAACGCCCCCTAAGTCGTATCGGTCCGGAAAAATCGCTGATGGTAATCGATTCCACAAGGAAGTCGTGCGAGGAAAAAAACATCTTCTAAATCGCACAGTGGTGGACTGCCAATCATCCAGATGGTGTGGATGGTATCGGGAGTTCTGCCGCGATGTGCGTTCGTGAAATTTGGCGGCTGGGATTAATCCGCACAATTTCTCAGAGCACTCCCCGTGGTAAATGCGAAAGAAAATGCAAAGGGATGCAACATCTCTTCGCTGTGCCAATGAATCGAGCCGATCGGAAAGGACTCGGTCGTCGACGATTCGAGTCGCTCTGCGCTGGATGCGGTCAAGTGGAAGGAGCTGGCACTGGGGAGCCCCTGCCCAGAGATGGGAACAGTATTCCATGTGAGGCCGAACCTGCGCCTTGTAAAGTTGCAGGCGGTGTGCCGGCATGAAATACTGTCCCGCTCTGCTGAGCACGCCAAGCTTTTTAGAGACCCATTTGGCCTTCTCTTCTAAGTGACCACGAAACTGCACGTCACTCAATATGTCGACTCCGAGGATTCCGATACTGACTGAGGCAAGAAGGGGAGTGTCTTGAAACTGAGGAGATACGACAAAGGGGTTTCTTTTAGCGGTAAACGCACAAACTTGTGTCTTCTGAGGATTAAACTGGACTAGATGTAGTCGACCCCAATTCGAGACTTTGTTCAGCAAAGACTCGGATTGGGGTCAAAAGTGAGACACAAGTTTGTTCCGGTACTCGGCGATGTTTTCCCGAGAAATATTGGCACGGCCGGTGTATAGAGCATCACCAGTGCTGTCATCAGCATAGCAATGAATGTTACCAGTTAGCAACAACATATCATTGATATGCAGAAGAAACAGCGTTGGTGATAGCACACAGCCTTGTGGAACACCAGCGTTAATAGGCTTGTAGTCGGAGCATGCACCGTCTACAACGACCTTGATACTCCGATTTGCAAGGAAGCTGGTGATCCAATTGCACAATTTCTCGGGAAGCCCATCGGAAGTGAGTTTCGAAAGAAGCGCTTTGTGCCAAACCCGATCGAAGGCCTTCGCAATGTCCAATCTAACGGCCAACGCCTCCCCCTTGAACTCTACTGCCTCCGCCCATCTATGAGTCAGGTAGACCAGACGATCACCAGCTGATTATAATTCTGTAAATACATACTTGTTACGCTCGCGAATCATATTTTGTTAAACATTCAATCTGGCCCTGACCTGCAAATTCTAAAAAACGTATGAAAATTGAATTTTGCGGGCGACCCTGGAACTTCCACCTTAATATAAAGCATTTTATTTTCACTTTCCTTTCCCTTAAGATTATTTTTTTTATAAGATATTTTTACGTGGTAGAGCCATGCTGCAGATATATTAGTAGTATAGTTGTAGCACGAATGGGTCGGCTCAACCGGGGAAGGACCACGCTCTCACAGAAAACCAGCGTAAAATAGCAGCTTAACGCTGCTGTGTTTCGTATGGTGAGAGTAGAGAACCGGATACCCTTTTTACTGGCAAAGAGGCATTCCATCTTAATCCTCACTGGTGACAACGCATCTGCTTCTTGAGTCTTTATTGAGGATAGATGTAGATGTCTAGGGGTCACAGTAACCACTTACTATCAGGTGGACTGTGTGCTCGTTTGTCACCCTATCCTATAAAAAAGTAAGGGTAATAAACGAGCACACAGTCCACCTGATGGTAAGTGGTTGCTGTGGCCCATAGACATCTACATCTATCCTCGATGAAAAATCAAAATGCAGATGTGTTGTCACCCGTGAGGACTAAGATGGAATGCCTCGTTTCCAGTAAAATAAATAAAAAGTAAAAAATTCTAGTGTTTCGTTATTTTTATTAATATAAAATATTATTGTCATTTTTATAGCACATTTGCCATAGTTGACGAGAGTAAGGAGTGCGTTTGTGTGACTGTATATAACTGGGCAGATGGACGTGGAGCGATTATTGGAGACTGTGTTGCCATTCCGGAGCCAAATCTAAGAGTGCACAAACTTGATTCTAAACTAGCGGTGAGTTGGTTGTTTATGACAATTTTGTATTTAGTGCTAACTAGATTTTACTCGGAGCTTAAACCGCGGAGAACTTAAACAATCACAATAAGCAGATCTTTTATTTAGTTAGATAGTTCAAATATCGAAAAACCACTTAAAACTCGAGTATTTTACTATTGTCTTGAAAACTGTGTGCGATATGGGAAAATGTTTAAGATATAATTTAAAATTAAAAATTTTGTACAGCCGACTTCAATATAAGTTATTAAGACTAACTCAAAAACTATTGGTCTGACCTTGAAATTCATATGGGACCACACGAGAAGTACCAGCTTTCAAATAAAAAAAGAATCATCGAAATAAGTTCACCTCCTTTCTCAACTCCACAGAGTCAGTAATTCATTCTTGGGGCAATGTATACGCTATTACAACAAGGTCCCGGAAAGTGTACAGGTTCTCTCTATTACCAAGTTTAAATGTTTTATTAAGCTGAAACTGTATAAAAAGGGTTATTATAGTATAAATGAATACATGGTTGATATACCCCTGGGAATGAGGTGGTCGCATCCAAGCAGTTTCTAAAATAAATTTTGTAAATAGTTTATAATCATTTATATTGTAAAATTTATTTTAATAAAAAGTCCCGCTGGGTTTCTTGCTGGTTCTTCCCAGGACAGAGGGCTTTTTTTCGAACCAGTGGTAAAGTAAAAAATGACTTTCAATAAGAATTACACATGTAATGTATATTGAAAAAACATACCGTAGAATTGAATACCATCTCCTTTTTGGAAGTGGGCAGAAAAAATTAAGATCTATGTATTAATTTCACGTAAAAAAAGATATCTTCATATTACTCTCAGTTTTGATGTAAAACAGTTGTTACGGCCTACGGCTGCTCCCATAAAGTTCAAATCCTCAGGGGCCCATTCAGCTGAGTTTCGACGAGCAGATGTAGGTCGGGCCTCCTAAGGCCAAAGTGGAAAATCTTTAGTTACACTAAACTATATGGGGGAGCGTTCTATACTACGGCCATTCAACAGGGAGAATATTAGACGGAGCTTACTTACCTATATCCAAGGCGACTGGTCCCTCCGGAGTCTGTCAGGTCGCATGTGGTTGTGTAGTGCAAGGGAAATAAGGTGCTGTGATGTGTATCTGGGTGTGACTGATGGTGATTGACCTTAGTAGACCTTGGCCGGCCTCCAAATTGAGGTAATCTTCCGCGGCGCCGTCCACAGTCACTTTCCTCGTTCGTCACGATGACAGTCCATTAACTCTATCGTACTATTAACTAACTTACAGAATCCACTAACTCTCGTTTGTTATAAAGCCTAACACACAAAATGAACAGGGAGTGTCCGGATTAAAGGTCACTACCGCTTCGCGTAGCAACAGTTATTTCTAGACTATCAAAGGCCGCTTTAGCTAATATTGTTGAATGCACTTATACAGATTCTGAGTCCGACACAATGAGTCCCTGGGAAGCTCTCCAGCAAGGAATGCGCGTCACAAATCCTAGGCAGAATATTTACTATCCGCGCCTAATTATTCCGAGTTCCCGAACAAAATTGACAGCGTGCTGGCGTTAGCACAGCTGGCAGACGACTGCTGCGCTTGCGCGTTCTACGCAGACAGATCTCCAAATGCATGCGGCGGGACTTACGCAACTTCAATACAGTTCGTATTGAAGAAGCGATCGAGCGGAACCAAGGCTCCAAAGTCTTTGCCAGAGATCGTCTGCCAGAAAGAGCCAACTGTCAAGGCTGAAGACAGAATGTGGCAGCATCGTTTCCGGGGCACCTAAGATTTTGAGTGAGATTGAGAAGTTCTATGGGCAGCTGTACACGTCATCGTTGGAGCCACACGCGAGTGTGAGTAACGATCCAAGAGCGAGTCTTATCCGACATTATTCCGATGATATATCCCGGACGTCAGTCTGAGCGAGATTAGAATGGCTCTCCAGCACGGCAAGGCCCCAAGCGAGTATGGAATTACAGCGGAGCTTCTGAAAGCGGGTGGAAAACCGGTACTTGAAGTCCTTCAGAAGCTCTTTAATTCCGTCCTCCATGGTGGCATTACACCGGAGGCGTGGAGCAGAGTGCGGTGGTCTTTTTCTTCAAGAAAGGCGACAACGCTCTGTTGAAGAACTACAGACCGATTTCCCTTCTGTGCTGCGTCTACGTGCTGTTTTCGAGAGACATTACGAATCGTCTCGCGCGCAGTCTTGACGACTTCCAGCCTCCCGAACAAGCCGGTTTCCGAAAAGGCTTTAGCACCATAGACCACATACATACCCTTCGGCAAATTGCACAAAAGTCAGAGGACCACAATTTGCCACTATGTCTGGCGTATGTGGACTATGAGAAAGCCTTTGATTCCGTCGAAATTTGGGCGGTGCTGCAGTTCCTTCAGCCGTGCCAAGTGGACTGTCGGTATATCGAAGTGCTGAAGTGCTTGTACAGTAGGGCTACGATGGCTATCCGAGTACAGAACCAGAGTACGAAACCTATCCAATTGCAGAGAGGTGTAAGACAGGGTGACGTCATATCCCCGAAACTCTTCACCGCTGCATTGGAAGACGTTTTCAAGCTTCTGGAATGGAAAGGATACAGTATCAACATCAATGGCGAGTTCATCACTCACCTTCGATTTGCCGACGATATAGTCCTAATGGCAGAATCGCTGGAGGACCTAATCACTATGCTCAATGACCTCAATAGTGCTTCCCAACGGATAGGTCTTAAGATGAACATGGACAAAACAAAGATCATGTTTAATTTCCATGTCACACCTATGCCGGTAGTTGTTGGGAGCACTAAGCTCGAACTTGTTGACGAGTATGTTTACCTAGAACAAATAGTCCGACTAGATAAGTCCAACTTCGACCGAGAGGTCAATCGACGGATTCAACTCGGTTGGGCAGCGTTCGGGAAATTACGGCACATCTCGTCAGGTATACCTCAAAACTTGAAAACGAGACTGTACAACCAGTGCGTGTTGCCAGTGATGACATACGGAACTAAGACGTGGTCCTTCACTGCTGGCCGGATGAGGAAGCTCAAGGTCGCTCAGCGAGCTATGGAGAGGGCTATGCTCGGAGTTTCTCTGCGTGATAAACTCAGAAATGAGGATATCCGCAGTAGAACCAGAGTGCCCGACATAGCCCAACGGATTAGTAAGCTGAAGTGACAATGGGCCGGCCATATAGCTCGAAGAACCGACAACAGTGGCAGCCTCGTACTGGCAGGCGAAGTGTTGGGCGTCCCCCCACTAGACGAGTGACGACCTGATAAGATATGCAGGAAGTCGATGGATGCAGGTGGCTCAGGACCGTGCTTTGTGGCATTCCTTGGGGGAGGCCTATGTTCAGCAGTGGACTTGTGAAGGGCTGATTGAATGATGATTACGATGTCCTGGCTGCCACGTGCGTCATACTTGTGAACAGGTTCCGCTTTGGGGGATTAGGTTTGCGATGCACTTACACTGTCTTATTACAAAATGCGGTTCATATGACAGTCTCAAAGCTGAGACTGAGACTATGGTTTAAGAAGAGTTGTTTCTAACTAAAGAAATCCCTTAGCCACTGTGCCACATTCTTCATGAAATTTGACACTTGCCGTCACATTCCTTACTTTACATTTTAGATCTCATATTTTCCACGGGACTATTTTCGTGAAACAGATTCTAGTTTAAACCCATAGACATAGAGAGAAGGAACTGTGCGTTCCGTATTCAGTTGAGCAGTGAATACAGACCGAAAAGTGGGAGAGAGACAAAGCGAATGTGCGGCCAGTTGTAGTCTATTTCTAGAATTCTGATTGGTCCACGTCACCGGCTTTCAGGAGGTGGACCAATCAGGCTTGCAGGAAAGAGACAGGTATTGGCCGCACAGTCGCTTTGTCTCTTTCTAGAGAATGGTCACTTTTGTGAGGCTAACGCTCAGAACTTTCTCTATGTCTATGTTTAAACCTAACACTAATTATAAACTACTTATTGTAAGGCAGTCAGCTCTGTGGCGCATTGGCTCAGCATCAAGTTGCGGCGCTTAGGACCGGGGCTTCGCAGTGTGCAAGCAGTCGCAGTCGCAAGTGGCGAAGCTTGCGAAGTCACTTATTGATTTCACGATGTCTGTCCGTCTGTCCGTCTGTCCCACGATTATCTCGAGAACGGTTTCGAATTTTCAAATTCTGTTTTCAGCAATCGATTACTGATCACCCAGGCATCTGAACCTCCTATTTTGAAACTGATTGCTCAAAGAAACCGCTACAAAGCTGATTGCTTCGCGACTTTGCTATGCTGTTAGCTTGCTAGGTTTATTATTTTTTAAACTATAGTATGTTTCTAGGGCAAGCGGAAAAACGTACATTGACCTTTGACGATATCATCCGGGTAGCCAACCGGCCGGGTTTTTACGTTTTATTTTTTATCCTTGTATCATTACATACATCATCAGAGTGAAAGATAAGAGTGCCAAGAGCGAAGTTCTTCGCAGGCCCTGTGTATATCATTATATTATGAAGAAAGAAGATTGTCCTGTATGTATATGAATTAAAAAGCAAATTAACATTAATTTAAATTTATTATATACAAATCATAAGAGTTATTACAATTTTCATTATTACGTTAATAGTAGGTAAGTAGTTTAATAAGTAGGTAGATAGGTAGGTAGTTGTACAAAACATAACCATTTCTTGGCAGTCGGGTAAAAAGGCGAACTTTTAATGCTAAGCATTCTTTAGCAGTCAACCTTGAAGCATGTATAAAACTTCTCATAATAGATTGTCAAGAGACACTTGACAGACTATTCTTCTGTATCTATTTCAGAATCATTTTCTGATGATGACGACGTGGTAGAGTCCGCCACATTAATTATAAAACTATATAGGATATACGTCACTAGACCACGTTTCTTTTACATATTTATAGACGTTTACAATTATTATTTTTTCGGTTTCCGAAATATGCGACACTTTCCGCTTCTTTCGTGGTGACGTAAAATCTTTTTAAGATTTTGATGTCGATGGATTCGATTGCATACCGTTGATAATATACAAAACGTCACTAAACAAAAACAAAAACATTAATACAAAACGTAACAATACAACAAACAAAATAAAAGTGATAACAACCACTATAACCGAAAATTTTAAATATCAAACTATGATGAGTCCTACTCCGCCCGCTCTAGCAAATATGCACGACTTGGGACCGCGAATCGTGTCGAAACAGATTTGTTATCTCTGAATGACCGCTTCCTTCACACTACCCTGTACCATGAGACACGCTTAGCGCATAACGATACGTAATCGACAATGAAATGTATGGAAGCAATTCCTGTCGTTTTGTTTCGATGCTAACATAATACTTTAGGTCAATGTACGTTTTTCCGCCTGCCGTAGAAACACACTATACATTAGAAGTGTCATTAATATTACAAAAATGACATAAAAGAGAATATTGCGGAGTTTCTTTTGGAATTACTTCTTCAATCAGAGAAAGTTGTATTTTTTTTATTGTCAAACGTCAAAATATCACCAGGATTATTTTGCTTTCATTCCAGACATACAACTTTAAATCAATAAGGCTCGATAACCCAATGCTGCTACTAATTAATGGCAAACGAGTTGGTAGGAACCAATTTGCTTGCACCCGTGTTTCCAGCACGTACGAGATTCACTGACTAACACAGATGTTGAGGGAGTTTTCGGGACATTAAATAGCTGTCCTACTGATGACTTGAAACTCCCATCAATTTGACGGTTCCAGTTATAAACACCACTGATGTCAGAGGTTAGTAATAACATTGACACTAAAATAGATACAGAATTCGAAAGGTATTTATGTTGATTTTTTGATATTTGGATAATAAAAAATATAGACGTAACATGGTAAACTGTTAAAATTGCATCTGGAATATAATATCTGGAATAAATAATATTCATTAATATATCTATAATATCTGAAAATAAAAATGTTAAAAAGGATTAGAACTAAATGTATAACAAGTCTTTTAGTAAATTTGCCTGTGTCATAAATTCGTATCACTAACCTGCTATTACGACCTGTAAAGTAGTACTAGGAATAGATGTAATTTGCATAATATATGTTTTTTTATAATTATTGTTTATGATTCAAAGAATTTGAATTGCTGATTTTATAAATTTGTGTAGTACAATTGAACTTTTTGTATTTTAATTGATTGATTAATGAAGAAAATTGTAACATGCAATCAACTAATGCTGATGAATGTAAGCTATATGCAATTTATTATATATTTATACAAATATTTGATTTCGTTTATACCCCATAAAGTGATTTTGTAAGTAATATTTTTATTAATCCTGTGTTTTGAGACAAAACAAAAATAGTGGCAAAAGAAAGAAAGTGAAAATATTTTTTATTCAAAATGGGCTTTAAGAACGCACTTTTTTAAAGTCAAAAGCTGTGCCACGGCTTCATCAACTCCCTTACTGTGGGAGACCTTGTGAGAAAAAGCGGCAATAAACTTACACATAGACTATTTTTCTTTCAACAGCCACAATTTTACCTTCTCCAATATATAAGTAAAAAAGGCCCAAAAAAGGTTTAGTATATCGCGTTGTCTTTCAAATAATCATCTAATTTATAATATTCTTTCTTCATAAGAATGCTTTTTATATGTGCTTTGAATATACGCAAAGGCAATTCAGTAATATTATTACTATTATCAGCAGTATTATTATTACTAATAATTATATGTAATTTAATTAATGATCTGTACAATGTAATCTGTAAAAAATACTCTCTAAATATACTATTAATTTTATTTTTTACACATAATGTATTTCCAATTGCTACGCACACCTTGATGCTTATTTTTTAATCTGTGCAAATTCGTAGTAATTAAATTGTAGAATATTTAGGAACATGAAAGTACATTTACAAATTATGTTTGTGGAAACACTTCAATTCTGTTGTACATTTAAAGTGCATTTATTATTTTATAGATATCATTATCTTTTTTGATAAACTACAATGACAGTACATGATTTAAGAGTATAAATAAAATTAAAAAGAAATCACGTGTTTAGTAAAAGTAAAGTTACAACATAATATATACGTCCCACTGATGGGCACAGGCCTACTCTCACTTTTGAGAGGGTTTTAGGTCAACGAAAGTGTCCGCCGCGCTGCCCCAATGCGTCTTGGCGAACTTCACAAGTCTTCGAAATATATATTCTTTTTATTTCTCAGACATGTAGGTTTCCTCACGATGTTTTACTTCACCGACGAGCAGGCGGCTAATCAGCAATTAAAATTGCAATTAACAATTACATTGGTGCCGGCGGGTATCCTACCCGGGTTGCTGGCGCCACAGCTGCCACGGCTCTTAATTGACTCTATAGGTATTTAAACTAAATTTAATTTCAATTGAACTATTGTAAATATTACAGTTTTGTAGAAAATAATAAGTAAATTGAAGAATCTATGAATCATTGGTGTAAACGGGGACAGGGTTGTTCTTTAATCTCTTGGTAACTGCTATAACGGTGCAAACCAATAAGAGGTTAAATAACTGTAACAAGTATGACTGAAATACGATTGGCCTAAAATTATTCCCGTATATTATAATATTATTATTAAAAATAATTGTTGTCATTGCTTATTAATCTGATCTCTATATAATTATTAAATTGTATTAAAGTAATAAGTCAATTAAAATTATATACCCATTAGTATAGTTTTAGAAATAACAAATTGAATATAAAGTGCTCACTGATTTTACATCTATTTCTTACAACTATTCTTCAAAGAGCCTGCTAGAAGAAATTGAAATATGGAATAAGCAATGCCTTTGTAGATGTATTCTTTCTTCTATTTTCCAATCATTGTATGCGAGCAACAATGACCCGGCTTAATGTCTTGTGGCTTTGTCTAACAGCCACCCTCGAGGGAATAGATAAGGATCACTTAACTTAGCAAGATACTTGTTTGTGCGATAATTACATGCAAAAATCTAAGCGGTACTGTGAATTGCTATTTTTCTTTATTTCTGAGTTCTGTGTATAAAAAGTATGACAAGGTAAAATAAAAAGGTTACCATTTTCTATTTTTTAAATTTAATAAAATGAAAGCATAATGTTATATAATAGTGACAACATATCCGACGTTAACAATATATGAAAGATTAGATTCTATTTCATTATGGCGAAAGTACTCGTACAACTTCCATACACAAAAAAAAAGAAAAAGGCTTCATATTGTTTATCTTTAAATATTATATTTAATTATGTAAATAAGTGAATGAGGTGCTTTATATTGCTGTGTATTTGTTTTGTTGCAAACTCTTTTATTTATTCAAAAGAATATAAAGGTTAACTTCAATCATCGCAGCGATCTGTCAATAGAAATCTAGATTTATCTTATAAATAATCATAAACGTTTTATTTAAAAAAGAAATGACATTTTTAAGTGGGAGAAAGTCAAATTTAATTCAGAAACCCGCATTGTGAGATGCTTTTTCTCTCCAAACACTTAAGATTGTTATATAAATTCATAACTCTTCAATGATTACTAGTTTTAAACATTTTTATATCTTAACATTTTTTTGAACATACGGTTAGACAAATTCAAGTTTAAGTTCAAATACTTTTGTGAATTCAAATCTTAGTCCATTCTGCAAATGTATAAACCCAAAGTTATTTCAATCACTTCAATTGTAGACCTTCGACAATTATATGAAAGTTTGTTATGATTTTTTTTAAATAGCATTCAAATGTAATGTAACATTTTTTTTATATATTTTATAGTTTTGACTAACAAATTATTTTAACATACTCAAAATGACAACTTGACCATATTTAATGTTCACAAGAATAAGTAATACACTGTAATCGTATAGTTATCCAATAAAACATGTTTTATAAATAATAATTATATTATTAAAATACTGTTATAAAACGAATGCACCCTTAACAATCCCTATAATCCTGCCATCCTTTGACATATTGGAAACAATAATATTTAAAAAGTATAGATAAAACTGAAGAGTATTGACTTATACATTACAAAGTAGTTTGCAGTTTTGGCGGGAACTTGAGTGCCGGCGGATTTTTTTTGCATCTGTTTTATCGTTTAATTATTGGTTTTGAGTGGATTTTCATTCGCAAAAGTGATGTGACTTTATGTATTAAGTGTCTGCGCATGTGTACTATTAGTAGAAACAATGTTGAATATAACCTCAAGTTGTTTTGTCTGTCTCATAATTGTTAAAAGTACGATTCCACTACCAAAGAAAAAATAAAGATGGACATGCTCTATGATATCTGTGCGTCAGTTTAATGTTATATCACATAATATATGTATATATCGTATATACCTACAAGTTTATTAGTGATGATAAACGTGCTAATTTGTTACGTTTTTTTTGGCGAACACTACTCAGTTTTAAGATGTCGTTAAGTCTCGTGGTCACTGACTTATTTGAGACTGCATCTAAGATTATGTAGCGTTTGAGTATTTGGGCATATATCTTCAGTTTAGAGATTCGATTAATGACTGTGTCGATTTGTTACGTGGGTGGATCCAGAAATAAGGTTCCCATAAATTTTACAAATAGACAACATTGTTTATTCTATGTACATCGTTGGAAAGAAGACACTGTTCTATTTTTCGTCATAATCTTTGCCATCTCTTTTATGCATTTTTGTTGACGGTGCTCCAATTTCTGTATCATGATATCGTAGAACTTCGCCGCCAACCCGTTGAAGAAACGTTTCACCCGGTCTTTCACTTCATTGTCGCTCCGGTAGCGTTGGTCACTCAAGTGTTTAACTTCGGGGACAAGTGATAATCGCTAGGCGCGAGGTCCGGACTGTACAGTGGGTGGGGTATGACAGTCCTTACAAAGTTTGTCAAAAGGTCCTGGGTTTGACGGTAGACGTGAGGTCGGATTGTGTCGTGAAGCAGCGTTACTTTCGGATATTTTGAACGGACATACACTTGTCGCCATACAACTCTGTCATCTGACGATGAATATCCACGGGTGGAGTCCCCTTGGTGTGCAAAAAGCGAATTAAGGAACGAATCTCGCACTTTTCGGGAGCTACAATGGGTGCCTCCATCTCGGACGAGTACTGAGCCACGACAGAACGGTGCAGCAAATCGCGACCGGGTGGAATCGAGAGTGGGGGAACAGCTGCACACAGCGGTGTTGCCGGATTTCGCCTCGAACCTTCCCGTGCGGCTGAAGCTCTTTCGGAACATTATTTTTGGATTCTCCCTAGTATATTTATAATTTCTATAACTTTAAATATAATTGCTGCATCCACAACAGTTTCTAGCATCTCCGCCAGCAAGCTACCACCATTGGTATCACTGCGTCGACTTCTTGGTGTGTCAGAAAAACCAATAATTTATGGTTGGCTGTCAACAGCAACACTACACTTAGCTGTCGTACACACGTTGGCTCAACGTGTGCGAGCGTTTAATAGCGTTCTAAACCGGAGTGTAAACATGCACCTGCATCTCCATTTAGTATTATCGGGGCATTGCAGTCTTAAGGGTCATAGCTCAAAGTGGTTTATCTCAATCTTATGACCAGTATTGTTTTGCAACAAGAAAACGTACTCCAAAGGACTTGTTTTGTTATAAAGCTTATGTTGACTTTGAAAATAAAATGCTAGAATTTTTATAATTAAT